CGTCAATGTTGTGATTAAGGCTTAAGGTTGTGATTACCGTTTGTGGATGTTTTCTAGAGATAGAAAAAATTCAGATTAATGGGTTTGGCTGTTTTTATGGGTGTTTTGCATGGACTGATGATGACTCCAGTGGTCTATATAATGGACACGGATCCGCACGCGTCGAAAAATGGTCATTTTTCACTTCGCTTCCCTTCCGCTTTCAATCTTTCGGATTTCAGAGATCAGAATTTTATTTTGCACCCTTCAACATGGAATAAATTTCCATTTAAATGAACAATTTCTTCTGCTTAATTTGAAAAAAAAATTTCAGTTCTTGACTTCATGTTCGCACATTTCTCAACAATATTCGCATTCTCGACACTTTATTTCATCTTGTATTCGATTTATAAACGGAATCGCCCGTATGCAGCCCCCGAATTGGTCAGTAGAAATTTTTGATTTATTATTTTGAATGTTCTAAGGTCGGCGGATATTATTAAAGATCTATAAAATATGTGTGTTCAGGTTTTGCCGTCAGTGGCCTACGGCATTCTGTGGAGCATTGGTATGGTGCTGTTTTTTGTATCGAATGATAAACTCTCGCAGGTGGTCAGCTTTCCGATAACGACACGGGTACGGAGGATCAATATAACCATTCATATCACCATTATAACCATTTCAAGACAGCCATTTCAATTGAAAAACATTTCAGTTACCATCTACAATTGGAATTCTGGCCGATGTGTTCTTATTCCGCAGCATAAAAGTTGGTGGTTTATTCCGCAATATTGGAGTTTTCTCTCGAAAAAAGAGATCAAATTTCGGAGAAATTTCGGAGACACTCCAAAATTTGATATTTTTTTAGGGTCGTCGAAATTTGGCTTTAATGAGTGCTGGAGTTGTGGTCGCTTTGACTGGTGTGGTTCTAATCGCGATCTCAAATCAGGATCTGTGAACGACGGGCGATCTCCCTGAATAAACATTCCCGTGGGTATCTTTGCCAGTGGGATTGGGCCGCCTCGGGAAGTGTGGTGGGTTGGGTAGGCTGGCCTCCTGGGAACCTGCTGAGCTTCTGTTAGCGGCATCTACGACTACACGGAGTGTGGACGATGAATAAACCCCTTCAGATGATTATTTCAGTGTGTGTATTAGTGAAATATTCATCTGGAGGGGTTTATTCATCGTCAACTATATGCATATAGTTTTGTGTGTATATAATCTGTTTTTTTCTTCCAATGATAATAATAATAATAACAATAATACAAAAATACAAAAGGTTTTCGTGATATCCGTCGCCTGCTATAATTGTATAGAATATGGAAAATCTTCAATGCCACACGCGTTTTCGCCTTTAGCAAAGCGAATATATCCTTCATCACCCCAACTGAAAAAATTTTTAATTAATAATAAATTAATAAAAATAATTTTAGCAATAATATTAATAATAAAAATGAAAATAATAATAATAATAGCGGTTTCGCTTGTGGCACGACTTCCCATGCTCATTTTGGCGCTTCTTCCCGGGAGGGTGCGCGGTAAACAGATTTCAAATTCAAATCGTGCTCATTGTTAGCATCTGTCCGCTTGGCGGGCGGTTTGTTGTGCGTGATTCGATGTGAAAAAAAAACAACCAAAAAATAACAATAAAAAATAAATGCTAAGTGGTTCAAACTTTGTGCCCCAACTGTTTTTGAGGATCCAATACGGCTGATCGGCCACTTGTCCAAACCCAACAATGGTCATCACGTGGTATCGATTCGAGCGATTGCACTCGTCTGGGCTGGGCCGAAATATGCCCACCGTGTAGTGATAAAATGGCATGGTCACTCGAAAATCTGCAAGACCGAAGTGACCAATCCAAATTGTTTGGTGTCAATCTCGATGGTTTTCGATGATTAAACCGGGCAAAAATAATTTATGGCTGCTAGAACACAAAATTTTTAGTTGGTATCAGCCCGGAAAACGTACTCACTGAAACAGGTCCATAGTTGTAGACATAGTCGGCGATTGCGTGGGCGTTCGATTTGATCTTTTGGATGGATTTGACGAATACGGAACCGTTTTGTTTAGGACACTCTGGTCCTCTGGAATCCATATAGGGCAATTTACTCTCGTGGAGCATACCCTTACGTTCGGCAACCCTTGAAAACACTTCAAAATAAAGCTTTACACTGAATACTGGCTAGCGAGCGATCAACATACAAATAGGCAGTTGCCGGATAGCCATATCGACATCCGTCACTATTGATATCGCAATCGATCAGCTCCTGCTCTGACAAATCTTGCATTTGGCCAGTTTTGATCGCCCAAAATGTTTCAATCACGGCCACGGCAGCGAACGCCCAACACGAATTGCATTTGTCTACAAAGAAAGATTCCCAAAGGTTTCCTGAAGGGTAAGTAAAGGGCGGGTAAGTAATTGGTGATAGTAAAGCTGCCAAATGACACCTTGATCTCGAACCGGAGTCACCACTGATCGAGAACGCCAATCAAAGTCAACGGGTAGCGGTGCACCGACCTCTTCGGCGAATGCTAGTGCCACTGAATCATCGTGGTATTGCTTCGGGAGTTTCATCGCCATCTGAATTTTTTTGACGGTTTATCGTTCGGTGCTGGTGGTAAAATTTACACCTAACGGTTTATTTGGTAAAATGAGCGGCTGGTTTTACCAGAGTTTTACCAGTTTTACCAAACATGTGTAGATACAAACCTGTTCGAGTTCTTTATCGGTACAGTCAGCAAATTTTGTGATACCGAATATGGCCGTCGTTTGATTACTAGTATTTGAATCGCTATCAATATTATTGCTGTTGTAATAGCTCTGAATGGTGTGATTGGCATTAAGGCGTTCGATATAATGCAGATTATCCCGAAAGATCTTCCAACGCTTTCGTTCTTCTGCTTTGCTGGCATAGTGGCGTTTGTTCCTGCAATGAGTAGAAATATGATCACTATGGATCAGTGTATCTAAATTACTGAATTACTGTTACTTACTTAATACTGATTTACTTACTTAATTACCTAGTTACTTAAATTACTTAATACTGAACTGATTGAATGTTTCAAACTTATATATCATCATTTTTAGCTGTAGATTTCAGCTCTTCTATGTTATGAAATCAAATTCTTCCTTGAATTCCTCGTGTGTGAAATAACCGGCTCTTACATTCGCATAAATTGCTGAAAAAGTTCGAAAGATGAGCGATCTGAAGTTGGCAGTGGTTTTGATCTGATCTGATCAAAAATATTTTGGTTTTGATCACTTGTTTGATCAGTCTGATTAGCGGGCGTAGAAGTGATACGATGGGTGGTGGTGGATCGTGTGGTCGGTATGTGCGGTAATCGTATAACACCGGATTTGATTAGTATTGTTGGAAACCAAACGGATGAAACCAACAGCGTGAGCTTTAGCATATCCTGCGGGTCTGTTGCTATAAGAAGCAGCAGCTACTTCTAATTATGGTGGTGAGACCTGAAATCAATTCATCGTGGAAAAATTTTTAATTAATTAATGAAACTGAAACGAAACGAACTGGAGAGCTGGAATGACTGATTCTGTGAACATTAACAATAATAATGGTAAAATTTCAAGGATTGAAAATTTCTTTTCAACTGAACATTTTTATTATTCATCCTTTATTTATCCCACCATTGTCAACGGTATCGGTGTGGTGATAGTAATAAATCAAAAAAAGGCAGAAAAAAAGGAAAGAAAACGCGACTGAGGAAATTAATTTGTTCATATAATTAATTGGGATTAAGTGTTTGCCGTTGTTTCAAAGGATTTTAGAGCAAACAAATAAATAAATAAGTAATTAAACGAATACGATCGATAATAAATTATCAATCAATCGAATCGCATACGGATCAATCCGATCGAATCGGATCAATCGTCGCACCATACGGATTTTGAATTTATGGATTTGGTTAATTCGTTGTTGATCAATGCCGGCTGGTTTCTCTCCTAACTCTCGATCGCTTTCTCTTCTTTTTGTGATCAGCAAAAAAACCAGTTACACATCAGCAATAATCCGTTTACTTCAGGTATCTAAACGAAGAAGAACAACAAAAGCTTCAAGTGTATCATCGA